CCCCACCACCCCAGATGGAGCAGACACACAGTCCCAGGGATCTGTAGGATCACTGTTGTGGACTGAACTGCTCCTCACCCCCACATTCATACACTGCAGCTCTAAGCCCGATGTAATTGCACTGGGAGAGATGCCTCTTAATTAACTAAGATTAAGTGAGATCATAAGAGTAGGGCCTCTGATCTTGTAAGATTAGTGCCCTTAGAGAAGAAATACCAGAGCCAGTATTCCCTGTTCCCCTGCCAAAAAAAGCAGTCACATGAGCGCACCTAACACAGCGACTTCCTCCAGGCCCAGAGGCAGGCTTGCTCAGCATGAGAACTGCTTGCAAGAAATAACCTGCTGTTATAGAAGCCGGGCTGGTATTTTGTTACGGCAGCTGGGGCAGACTAATATAATCACACATTTGTGTGCTTAACTGGGGCTTTTGGGAAAAAAAGCTCAAAATACACGCAACACCTCTTGATTTTCATTATCCCCTCTACCTTATGTGTCACCGAAGTGGCAATTCTGGCTAGAGACTATGACTGTCAGGGAAGCCTGACTCTTCCACCTTCTCATAAACCATAAATAAATCCTGACTTCTGCCTTTGGAATATGCCTCCCATTCTCCGGGGTTTCTCTTGAAAGGAACCCCTAATCACCAAAACTGTGACTGCTGGTCTCAGGGTGGCAAAGAAGTTATGGGCTTGCTGCTTGGTCTGGAACAGCTGAGGCAAACCCGAAGAGCGGCCAGCCTTCAGCCTCCGGCTAACTCTGGCTCACTTCTGCCGAGAGCTGGCAGGCACTGAGATGATGGGAACAGAGATCAAGGTCTAGAAGAGGCAGAAAGTTTGGAAACAATGACAAGAGAGTTGTAACAGTTTTCTATTTGCTACTAGAGTAAATCACCACAAACTTGGTGTCTTAGAACACAAATTTATTACTGAGCTAAAATCAAGGTGCTGGCAGGGATGCTTTATCTCCAGGAGGCTCTAGAAGGGAACCCGCTTCGTTGGCAGCTTCCAGAGGCCAGTGGCACCTTCCATCTTCAAAGCTAGTGATGGCTGGGTGAGCCTGGCACATCACTCTGATACTCACTGTTCTGTCTCCTCCTACCACACTGAAGGATGCTTGGGGTTACACTGAGACCACTGGGTAATTCTGCATAGTCTCCCTGTTTCAAGGCCTTCTGATTAGCAATCTTAATTCCATCTATTATCTTAAATCACATACACACAGACTGCAGGGATTGGGACAGTTCTGCGAGGCCATTATTCTGCCAAGCAAGGTGCTAAAAGCAGTACGGGTAGAAACAATTACATAATATATGTTATTATTGAAACAATTATATACAACAATTATAACATGCCCAGTACTACACTAAGCATTTTATAACATTAGCTTTAGCAATCAAATACCTCTACAATACTATTATTATTCTCATTTTACAGATAAGGACATTGAGGCAGAGGACAATGGCTTATTCAGAATTATACAGCTAATGAACAGGAACTTGAACCCCAGGGGATGGGCTCCTGCTCTGATAGAACCAACCAAGCAGACTCCAAATCATGCAGGCTTATGAGTGTCTTAGAGGGGTCATTTGTCTAACAACCGGCCTAAACACTTTTCTTTCTTTCTTTTTTTTCCGAGACAGAGTCTAGCTATGTAGTTCAAATGAGCTTGAACATACTATGTAGCCTAGGCTGGCCTTGAACTTATGGCAACCCTCCTGCCTCGGCCTCCCAAGTACTGTTACAGGCGTGAGCCATGATACTTGGCAAACATTCTCATTTCTGAAGCATGTGAACTAATTCATCCACACTGACAATATTCTGACTTTTCTTTTATAGGGTACCTGTGGATATTTGTCTGTCTGGTTGATAGTCACCTTGACTAGTCCAAACAAAAAGTATATTCAAACACAATCTTCTAAGTGTAGAACAGACTGTCCTTGAGGCCTGCACTCCTTACACTTTAAATACGTGCAGTCATCACCTACAGGTCTTGTTAAAGTTCAGATCCTCATTCTAAAGGCCTGGCTGGGGTGAATGAAGTAGGAGGGTCTGTAACCAGCTTCCAAGCAGCTGTTTGCAGATAAGAAGTTTGAGAGGCAAGGTCCTCAGGCTGCAATGTCCTTCTCCACCAAAAATGTTTATCATGCCGACTCCACATGTCACATGTTACTAGGCACTGTGCTAAGTGCTGAGGGTAAATAAGTTTATTCTCTTCAGGAATTTACAGTCCAATTAAGGTCCTAGGAAGCTTCTCTGACTTCCAAAAATGAAGGACAATATCTAATAAAAAAGGAACCCCATTAAGGACAAAACCCTCACAAAATCACCTGCAGAGCAAGAGCACTTAATGCTGACTGTGCAGGAAGTAGCAATAATGCTGAATGAATACCTCTATTGAAGGACCAACAGGTGACTTAAGCTAGGATAAAACCAGACATTCCTGAGACGCCAAATGGGTGATGGACAATGTGGACATAAGTGTGTTACAGTTTCTTTCTTTCTTTTTTTTTTTAAAGACAGGGTCTCGCCGTGTAGTCCAGGCTGGCCTTGAACTCAGAACAATTCTCCTGCCTCAGTGTTAAGGCTTGTGTCTAGATGTCCTCTTCCCCTGCAAAACCTCATGGGGTGATAGGTGGAGAGTTTGGAAGGTGGTATGTAAATGTAGGTTAGGGGTGTGATGCTGGGATTAAGCATATCCAAGGTGTAGATGGCACCACTCAATAAACTCCAACCCTGGTTGGAATATAAAGGGTACAGAAAAAAGGTGTCTGCTGCTGCTTCTGCTGGCTGCTGCCTTCTGCCTGCCTGGCAATGTTATGAGCTGTTTGTCCTCTGTGATGCCCCTCTGCCATGCCACCCTGCCTTAGAACCAGCTGACTATGGACTGAAGCTTCTATAAACAGAGCTAAATAAACATTTCCTTCTTTAACTTGTGGTGTTGGGTATTTTGCCTCAGCAACAAGAAAAGTAACTGAGACATTCAATTTCCTAAGTGCCAGGATTGCAGATGTGTACCATTACACCTAGCAAGTATGCTATCGTTTGTATCTGAAGTGTACTTCAAAGGCTCCCGTATTAAAAGGCTTAGTCCCCAGCTTGGTGCTCTTGGAAGGTGGTGGGTCCATTAGGAGGTGAGGCCTATTGGGAGATTGTCTAGTTACTGGAACTATGCCCTTGAAGGTACAATGAGACCTCAGTTCCTTTTCTTTCTTTGAGAACTAGCTATAAGATGAATGGCTTTATTCTATCACATGCTCCCTGCCACAATGTGCTGCCTCAACACATGCTTAAAAGCAAGGGAGACAACTGACCAGGGACTGAGCCTCCAAAACTGTGAAACAGAATAAGCTTTATTTCCTTATAAGATGATTATCTCAGTATAACATCAAAGCAACAAAACCTATGTCTATACATCATTGTTGGGTCCCCCTACTCAATATGAAAATTCTCATTAAAATTTGTTAGCACTGGACAGCCAGAATACCAGTAGAAAACTCTGAAAAAAAGCAGTCAAAAAGTGGTGAGAAGACAGCTAGAATGGACATACTGAACATGAGAAGCTCTTCTTAGTAAGTCCAAACCCTTTAATTTTAAGGAAGAAAAAATGCAAAGCAGTTAAGGCAGCAATTCTCAACTGGGGTGATTTTGCATCTTCAGGGGATATTTGGTAATGGCTGAACGATTTTAGTTGTTACAACTGGAGTGCTACTGGCATCTAGTGGGTAAAGGCCAGAGACACAGGACAGCCCACTACAACCACTACAAGAATTATCTGTTCCAAAATGTCAGTAGCACCGAGTTTAAGAAACCACGAGTTAACAAACAGCAAAAACAAAAAAACCAAACAAAAAACAAAAAACCACGAGTTAACGACTGTGCACTAGGTCAAAGGATGAGAGTCACACCACTGATTAGAATGGGGCTGTCCAACAATGCCTTGAGAAATAAGACGATAATGTTTTTTTTTTTTTGTCTTTTTCGTTTTTATCGGTACCAGGGATCGAACTCACGACTGCCTGCTTGCAAGGCAGGCGCTTATGCCGCTGAGCTAAATCCCCAGCCCCACGATAATGTTTTTTAATCTGAGCTGTACAGTATGGCTCATGTGTAGGTACCGAATGCCTGAAATACGGGTGTGACTAAAGAATTGAACTTTAAAATTTTATCATTAACAATTTAAATCTGGATAGCCCCACATGGCCAGTGGCTACTCTACTGGACAGGGCAGAATTGCTATCTACCTTTTCTGACTCTCAGGCTGACAATGTTTTAGTTTTAGCCTGTTTCTTTCCACTCTTCTGAAATCACCCACCCACCCACCCATTCGACTCTATCATTAAAATCTGGTTGGGGAAAAAATATAAAAGGAAAACAAAAACATCCACATTTAAACATTTTCTATTTTGAACACTGGGAAACAAAGCCAAATGTTAGATCGTGATTACACATACATGTAACAAAACTGCAGAATCAAGAAAGGGCAAGTTATTCCTACTTCCACTTTCAAGGAAGGATGATATGACAGAAAATAAGCAATCCCATGACCCTTAAGATCAAGAGGTTTGCACTTGATTTCTTCATCTGGTCACTTAACAGTCTCTGTCACTTCTCAGAAGGTAAGACGCCAGGCCAGGCAACACATCAGTAGCAATTTCTCAGCTTGACTTTTCTCTCATTACAGAAACCACGCTCCTGTGTCCTAGTTTTGATGGGGACCAGAGAGGACTCACCAAGTGTTAGGCACTGTGCTACACGATGTCACTGAAACTGTAACCAGCAGGTTAAAGAACTTAGTCCAAATCACAACCTGTGAAGAGGGAAACTGAGACTCTCACAGTGGGCTCCAAATAGCCTGCTTTCAAACACCGCGCTGAGGGACCAAAACCTGGGAATGCACCACTGACTGTGAAGGCACAAGAAGTCCCCTACTTTTGCGCCCCCATCCCAGGGAGAGACCCGCAAGGGGATGCAAAGGCAGGGCGGGGGCTCGGTAGCTCTTACTTCTCTATCTCCAGCGCTGCCACTTTCCGCTTTTCGTATAGCTTGTCATTAAGGGCTCGTACGATGTTGGGCGTGAGCGGCGCGAAGTCCTTCTCGGGGTTCATAGCGGCAGCTTGGGATGGGTCCTGGAGCCTCGCGACTCAGCCCGTGGCTGCCGGGACCACGCCAGGGCCAGGGGAGTCTGCGGCTCCGCGCTGCCACCGGCGCCGGCTCATGGACCACGCCGCCCCGAGCCTGCCTGTCTCGCTCTGCCGTCGCGCGATGCGCCAGAACCCGGGCCTGGACCCCTCTGTCCCACACTCCACCCGCACCACCTAACTGCTCACGAGACCAGCTCCGACCAGGCGCCGGTAGCTTTCACTGGGTAGCCGCCATATTACTCGGCTCACGTGACTCCGCAGTAACTTCCGCCTTCCGCCAAGAAGACACGCCCCTTTCCAGGCACGCCCCCGCACGCAGGCTGCACTGTTGGCCACGCCCAACAAAAGCTTCACCCCCTGCCGCCTGCTGTAGGGCCAGTAGATCCACTGTGTGGTTTGGGAGGAGCGCCTCACGTGGCGAGCATCTGTGGACCTTTTGGAGACCAAGCGGATACTTGGAGCCTCAATCCGGATAATTTATGCTGAGTGCGCCAGTTTGTTCACTACTTGATCATTTACTAATTTCTCTTATGCCACTGTTTCCCACCATTGAAATGGTTAATTTTGTATAAACCCAACTTATTTGTTTCCAAGTTAAATAAATTTGAGAACAAAAGGAAGCATTTAGGAGAATGTTTATGGAAGTTCAATGGTCCTTCTTCGTTTTGGTCTTACATATGGTCTTTTTTTTTTTGGTCTTTTATCGGTACCAGGGATCGAACTCACGACTGCCTGCTTGCAAGGCAGGCGCTTATGCCGCTGAGCTAAATCCCCAGCCCCCTTACATATGGTCTTAAGTGCGGTTGAAGGCCTCTCCAGAGGTAGCAACTGTCTTTAAGCATGTCTTTTCACTTGTAGGAAATGTCCTTATCTCCTCTTCTAGGATAGAGCTATCTTTCTCTTGTGCTTACCTTTGCATTTCTAAGCTTTACCAACTACTTGAGATATCTCTTCACTGTGGGCTATTTTCTTTTCTTTTAGCCAACCCCACTGCTAGGCTGCCTGACTGCCTAGGCATAATAATTTAAACTGCTACACCGTGGTTTGTTGCCATATGCTATCCACTTGTGTCATTACTTATTTTCCTCAAATCAATTCATTTAAAAAAATCTCATTTTAGACTTGGGTTTAGCCTCCCACTGTAATCATGGGTTTGAGTATTTTTCCTGAGACATTAATTTCACAATTAAAAATGATACCTACCACCCAAAATCTCATATGCCATGGGTGGGTGTCACCCTGCCACTTGGGGGTGGGGGTGTGTGAAGTGTATCTGATAGGCAGGAAGGCCGGCTCACACAGAGCAGCTCCAGACCTGCTGAGCACTCTTGTGTAGACAGATCTGCTGGAAAAGTTGCTTCAAGTGCTGTAAGAGTCACACTAAATGATGGAACAGAAATTTTGCAGCTGTATAGTGAAATTAAAAGATTTGTGGCAACAATGTGGTTAAAGATGCAGTAACAGGGAGATGCAACAGAATCCCTTATTATTGTTGTTTTGAAACTGGTTCTTGCCACGTAGTTTAGGATGTCCTCCCATTCATGACAGTTCTTCTGCCTCAGCCTCCCAAATTCTAGAATTATAGGACTGCACACGCAGCAAAATTCCTTAACTGGCATTTAGAACACGGTTCAACCACAGTGGAGCTTAACAGATACTTACTATGAATAATGGTCTTAGAAGCATTTGCCTCTCTTTTCTTTTAATGAGTGAAACACACACCAAAGCTTGCAACAATCTTGAACATGGAACATTCTCTTCAACTCATGGATCAGAAACAGAGACACAGTGATTAATTAAGATCCCTACTCAGTTGATGTTGAGTTAAAGGGGGAGATTATCTTGGGTGAGCCTGACCTAATTAGATGACTCCTTAAAGGATTTAGAAGAAATTTGATAAGAGAGAGAGATTCTCCTGCTGCCTTAAAAGAGTAAACCTATCATATTATGAACCATCTATGCTGGTATGGATACTGGTCTCTAGTTGCTGATAGCAGTCCTTTGTCACCTGTTTCCAAGACATATGACAGCAAAGAAATGCAGTTTGGCGACCTTCTGGGGGAGCTTGAAAAGGGATCTTTCCCTAGTTGAGCTTCCACATGAAGACGCAGCTAATCTTCGATTTTAGCATTTTGGGTCCCTGGACTAAGAACTCAGTTCGGTTCATTGAGGATTCCTTAATCCCATGGAAACTATGAGGTAAGACACCTGTATTAAATGTCTAGCTTGGTACTGGTTTGTTATGCAGTCACGGAAAGTGAATACAGGGACTAATATAAAACTCAAGTAGTGGGGGATTGTCTAAATAATTCATGAAAATGTGATTTCTCTTACTGGAGGGATTTTCACGGGTGTCAAAATCTTTTCCTATACTGTCTGATGAATAGAGGTAGATGCATCAACAATGTGAAAACTAGGGCTGGGGATTTTGCTCAGCAGCATAAGCGCCTGCCTTGCAAGTGCTTGGTCATGAATTTGATCCCTGGTACCAATAAAAAATAAAACAATATGAAAACTGTCTTATATAAGGATTCATGGCTAGAGTACTGCTTGGAAGTTTCTTCCTCTTACCTTGTTACTGAGTAGGACTGCCAAGGACATTTCTAAATGTCTTGCAAAGTTTGTGTCTTTAGGATTTAATGATGGTCGATGCAAAATAATGAAAAAGTCAAATCAGTGTTGGTGATCTGTGCTCATTTCTCCACTATGTATTCATTTCTATTTGACATATACCTAATACAATACACCTTCCATTTCTTTGCTTTTTCAGTTCGACATTTTCTTAAGGTGAAGGGAATTTCCCATGAGTCTTAATGTGCTGTGGTTTTTAATAATTGAAGTGGTTCAGAAAAAATTTTTTTTAACCAGAAGAAACTCTCCTCTCTTGAAATTACATTCCAGATCAGGTTGCTAAGAAACTAGTTTCTTATTCAAAGCCCAAACCAATGCTTTGTCCTACCTTTGGGTCAGAGGTTCTTAGAAAGAAGTGGCTTCTCTGATATCTTAGAGAATGTCAACTAATTAAGGTTATTTATGCATGACGGAACTGGTAGCTGAATATAAAGTCCAAATGTGATTGGACTGGCAGCAATGCTAAGAATAAGGCCTGGGGGCCATGCTTGCCTATTCTGGGTGCCCTCACCTTCTCTGACCCTGTTGGGCAGTCCTGGCCTGCCTTGTTGTGCTCAAAGAGTAGTGGATAATAGGTCTGCCTGCTGCTGAACATCGCTGTGGCTCTGCATTATGGGATCTTTGACCCACAGATTATGGAAATGAGACTGAGCCAAACAGTGAAAATATATATACTCCTGCAGGGAGAATGGGCTTCAGTTGAACAGAAAATTCAATTGAAGGGAATCAGTATTTGATCAAGGGTGTCCCAGATGTTACTTGCAGAACAAAGAGAGCAGCAGGTTAATATTAATTTGCTGGGGTGTGCTCAAGTTTAATAACTTCCATTGGTCAGGAACATTGTTCCAAAAGTTTTTTTTTTCTTATGATGAATTAGACCACTGTGTGGGTGGTTTTGTATATCTGGTGCCATTGTATTATATAATACATTCTGGCCTGGTGGGGCTGGACTCTGAGATAGATGCTAGTGCTTTAGAGGAGAGAGAGGAGAAAGAAAACACATACTGGCTATCAATAGGCAATAGGCCAAGTTAACCTTGTTTTATAGTCTTGGGCCAAACATTTAAAAGTGATCAACATGTCTGTGTGTAGAACTGAACAGAATATGACCCAAGGGTTAAAACAGCAAAGGGGACAGACACAATATGAAGGCAGAGATGCCATGCCTTTCATCCCGTTTTACTCATCCATCAGATCTCTGCAGGCTCATGTAAAGGGTCAGTGTTTTCAGCAAAAGCAGCCTTTAGGTCCCTGGGAAGTAACCTATGCGCCTGTTATCATAATATACATGTCAGAAGTGTCATCTTACAGCAAAGCTAGAGGGAATCTAATAAGCTATGGCCTTCAAAATCGGTTTTTAAATTAACCAAGAGCAAAGAAGCCAGAGGTTTGTTTAGGTTGTTCTTTGGCAACGATTCCTCATTTTCTGCAAGCATTTTGCTTCTGTGGTTTTATTAAGGTTTCCTGCCTGGTCTGTTGAAACATGTCACGCAGTTTACTATGTGGGTTTATTTTGTTACTCAGCCTTTTGTCAAACCACTGTCCCATCACAGTGGATCCTAAGGTCTCAATTTCAAAGTGATACTTCACCTACATCTGTGTAGTGCCTGGTTATAATAGAACTTTAACAGATATCAGTAAGAGCTATTATCAAGTTATGTAAAAGTCATTACTGTAAATAACTTGAGCAAGAGAATGCTAGTGACATCCAAATGTATCCCAATCAAATCAGCTGCTCCAACAATAAAACAATTTTAGCTGGAGTTTCAGGACAAATGGTTGAAGATATAGGTGGCTTTGGGAGACCACTCTGGGGATTTGCTGAGATCTCACAGGCCCTTGCCAGTGTCATAACAAGGTTACCCTTGACTAGAGACATGTCTCCCAGAAAGAACTGATGGGACTCAGCATACCACACTCACCAGAGGTTCTGTGCACCAATGCCAGGGAGCCCCCATCACGTGCTGTTCTGTGCACAGTGCTCCCAAACCCCACAATCCCTCCCCTTCAGTGTTGAACATCACCCCTTTAGACATCTCCCAGCCTGTTATGCTGAGGAAGAATGAATGTTCTATCCAATGTAACTTCCACCAACTGGGGCGGGATGCTTATTTTCTCCAAGCCTCTATCCTGACCGTCTGTGGAGCTATTTTGTCATTGCAAACTTGCTTTTATAAAATTAGCAAATTTTTCTTTGATCTTTTCTTTTGTTCTTCTTTTTTTTGAGGCTGAGGAAATATGAGCATAACCTAAAGGGAAAAAATGTGCCCACTCTTAAATCAGCCTGGAAAGAGTTCCTGTGATGCAGGATGGGAGTGGGTGCTTGGTCCAAGGGAGAAGGAATTTCTCTCTGTAGGCCTAGCAGGATTTGGACCTCAGACACAGTACTTGGGAGGCCTGGAGTAGGGGATGGGTAGAAATTGCCTCTTGCTACCTGTAAGTAATTTATAAACAGTACCATTTTTTTCTGGCAGTGCCACTGTAAGTGACCAGTTTCTGTAGCAACCAGTTGGGGAAGTGGGTGGGAGCCCTCCAGCCTCCCAGGAACAAGTCAAAGTGGTGGCTTTCCAAATTGAAGGAATCACAGAGTCTCATCATATGCTTATTATAGCCAGCTAAGTTAGGTAGAAATTCTGTAGGCATTCAGACAGAGCTAGTCCCTCAAGGGAGTCAGTGCAGAGGATGAGATATTACAACTGTGGCTGGAGGCGCATCTGTCAAAGGCCAGGCCTCAAGATAAAGATGGAGTGACCAGGCCTACATCCCTCCCCCAAGGGATGAGCAATAAATTGAAGATTATACTCACTTGGTCCAATAAAGTCTAGAAAGACATTGATCACCTAGGTGAGTGACCAGGACCTCCTGATCTATCCCTTCCTAGAAAGGTCTTTGCCCTTTCCTTGTACATTTGCTATGTGACCTGCTTCTCCACTGGATCAGTATTACCTAAGTGGTTATGCTTGTATTCTTATTGGTTGATCATAGTCTTGACCCACATTGTACCCACCTCGTGATTTTGTACTGTTATAGCCTAGTTCTAACTGTTGCACCTCATTCCTGTTCTGTATGCGCCGTTTGGCCCCTCCCTCCCTTCCTATCTTTCTAGGTTAAGTTTCTATTTCCTGAGAAAGCTGTAAAAGCCTTAGGTTTCAGTTTCCTGTAACCCCCTCCCCTCCCCCTCATCTGGCTATCTGTAATAAAATGTGCTGTTCTTAAGAAATGCTCTCCTCTGTAAAAATTGTAAAATCTTACCTAAGTGATATGTTAACCATTGTTGCCCTCTACAAATAACAGATGTGGTGCTAAAATAAGCTAACAGGGGTTGTTAATTACTGCTAGACTTCTCTATTCTCTGCTGAGGGAAAGAAGATGTTTGCCCAATCTAAACTTGCTTGTATGCAGGGAGACTTGCTTGTTAGCCCAACCCTTATCTGAACTTTGCTCTTCCCAATGAAATCGCTGTGTTCCTGTTCTGTAGTGCGCCACACCCCCATCCCTCTCCTTGTGAGACTAACAGCTGTTTGTGGTTTTTACAAGATAAAAGCCCTGCCTTTTAGCTGTCAGGGGCACAGTCTCCAAATTGGCTCCCGGGAATTGCGTCACCAGGCCTGGCCTAAAATAAAGCCTTTGCTCCCCAAATTTTAATTTCTTGCTTCCTTGGGTTTTATTCCGGGGTCCGAGCTATCACAGTACCTACCTCAGGATTTTGCTCTATAAAACTTCTTCTGAGCAATAGGATCTGTGGAAGCCTAGTTTTTGGTCCCTTCCTGGCTCTCAGGAGTTGTCTCTTTCATTAAATTCTTCCTACTCTTAACCTCTGTTGTTCCTTAGACTTCATTCATTGATTTTGGGGAACATGAACATGGAGCACCTGACATCTAGTAGGCTGGGAGATAAATTTTCCCCCCATATCACCCTGATGCTGGTGTGTTAATCCACCTTTTGCACTGTAGCCTCCGTCTCTTTCAGTTTCAGTAACCATTAGTATACTTGGTTTGCAATTGTTGAAAAGATGCCCCCTTTGAAGCACATGCTGTTGAGCCCTTGTCTCACCCTGCCTCTGGTGAGGGTGTGGTAGGAGCGCCCTTTTGGAGATTGCTTCTTTCATCAACTAGCCATCAGTGGACTCTGGTGAAGCGTGCGGGTAAAGTGACATTATGGCAGGCCTCTGAGCTGTGTTATGCAGGCCAATCACCTGCAGGTCCCCTTCAGATACAGATTCTGACTCGGCCTACAGGGGCCTGAGATCTTGCCTTCCCAAAGTTCCCTGGTGATGCACAGGGTCCCGTGGGCTACCCTGTTAGTGAGAGGACCGGGGCTTTAGTGCCCTGGAAATCAGCCTGCTTCTCTGGCAGCAGGGACAGCATCACCAGGAAGTGATTAGAAAGGCAAATTTGCCAGTCTCACCCAAACCTTCCATAACATGACTCCTGAGGGGAGGCTCAATAACTGGGTTTTAGCAAGTCCTCCAGGAATTCTGATGCATACTAAAGTTGGAAACCACTGACTTTATACAGATTCTCTGTATTGGTCAGCTTTAATATTTGTTGATTTTAGCATCCTCTCAGATGAGTGCTTAGTTGCGGTCTTTGCTCACCTAATCATGGGGAAAATCTGTCTTGTTCTTTGTTTTGACTCCTACTTTAGGTGTCTTTAGTGGTTCTAAAAATGAATTATGCATTAAGCATAGGTCTGAATTCACATGCACTCTGGAAAAAGCTTAATTTCATATGAGCTGTGTAGTATGTGTATTGGCATAAGGGTTGTGGGGAGGCACAAAAAAGTGGAAGAGTCCTCACCTGTTAAAATCTCTAATAGGTACAAGGGCTTATCACAAGAGAGATTGCTGGGCTGCACTCCCACACTTTTTAACTCAGTAGATGCTGGGCGGGGCCCAAGAATTTGGATTTTTAATCAATTCCTAGATGCTGCCTCTGGTGATCCAGGGACCATTTTGGAGATCCACTTAGAGCATTCATTCACTGACCATCAGCTTTCATGCCTCCTCCTTGTCTTGCAGGGGTGTGTAGGGAAATGAGAAGGGAGGGCACAGGAAGTAGAGGAAGGGGACTCTCAAAAGTGTGTGCTTGCAGGAGCAAATCCACTCCGGGGCCAGTCTTTAACAATCTTTATTCCAACACTAGGCACCAACAGGTAAAATGGTCCCTTGAATACGTGCCGTGAGACCCAGGGAAAAGGCAGCCAGGATTCTGGATGGTACAGGTACCTCATGGCCCCTTGGAGGAGGAAGTTCCAGAGTGGTGCTCAGGAAAGGTACTGTGTACCCAAAATAGCTGCAATTTCAACACATCAAACAGAACATGGTCCTTCCCCTGGATGGGATTCCTGATTCAAATGCAGCACAAACAACCCGGTGTGTGTTTGCTCTGTGACCGAGTTTGCAACCCTGAAGTACAAATTACACACAGAAAGAGATGCCCATGCCCTACCCCAGACTAATTAATTTGGAATTTGGGGAGAGGTGGCTTCTGAGTGAGAATTAAATGAGATGACATGCAGACAGCTAGGGGACCACTGCTCCCCAGTCAGCTGCTGTGCCTGGGGCTGGGGTCTCTATAGCTGCCAGAGGTAAATTTCTGCAAGCAACAGATAAGAGGTTCCAGGCTAATAAGTAAAGAGAATGTAAGTCTCTTGGTTGACCTAATGTTTTCTGTTCATTGCTTTGAAAATAGTTATTTCTTTGGCTTTTATGTGAAAGTAGAATAATGTATCACATCAAAATAATCTCATACCTACGGGGCCTTTAGATTTTACAAGGAAATTGCAGCGCCCTGGAGGCCGGCCCTGCTACGAGTTGTGTGGAGAAGGTCACGAGTCTGATACCTGTATCTTTGTTTAAAAAAAAGATATCATTACACAGTGCTTGAGCTAGGAGATAGATCGAGAAATAAAATTCAGGAGCTTGCATGGATTGAATTATCTCAGATAAAGATCTGTTGCATGTAGCTCTAACGCTTAATATGAAATCAATAATTTATAGCAGTTTTAAGAATATATAGCAGTAACTGCCCTGATGATTAAGTGAGGGTGTCGTCCCTTTAGAATTCCTATGTTCTACTTTATTCTTTATCAGGCTGGGATGAGGCGTGGCTCTTGAGCCGAGGAGGTGGTTTTTAGTAGGTGCAGGTAACCCAGCTTTGCACTAAGGAGTGATTCCCTTCAGGTAATAAACCCATTTAATCCCTGCTTCGCTGCCTTCACGGGTAGGGCAGGTTACAGTCAGCCTTGTGGTGATGGGGGTTTTGCTGCCGGATGGGTTTCCTTCGAAGGAGACGGTGATGTTGTTGGCCTTCCTGGGCCGCACAGTCTCCGCAGCACGGATGGTGAAGGCTGGGTTATCCACAAAGAAGGAGAAGCTGGCCGTTTGCAGGAAGATGTTCTTGAAGGGGATGACTATGTTGTACCCGGCTCTGATCACGAAGGGGCCCTGGGGCTTGGGGGGTAGAGCCATTCCGAAGAGGGGGATGGTATATTCCCCACCTAGAATCGATGTCAGGGTCAGGGTGCCCTTGGTCTCACCCAGGTGGCTGGGCTCAAAGAAGACTTCCACGCCCACTTCAGTGCCTCCCTGGGCTCCTGGGGGTGCGCTGATGACTTTTTCTGTGTGGAAGTCCTGACAGTCTGTCTAAAAGAGAAATTAATACATTTGGGTCATAGAGGACTCTAAAGAGCATCCTGGGAGTTCGAAGTCCACCCCCACCCTCTTCAACACTGAACAAGCAGCTGGGCAGGCTACAAAGCAGTGTCCTTACAACCCTTAGAGGGTGGTCCCTTGCAGAGTAGCTATTGCTCAGTGTTTTCCCTGCTCCACTACGAAGAAACAAAGGCAGAGATGTTAGTCATGTGCCCTAAGACACATAGCGAGGTCATGTTGGTAAGGCTGCTCTCCCATATTTGGTTCCCTGGAGGATGGGACATTCTGTACCTTGTGGTGGATGTGGCTATTTGTGGGCAGTTAGTTTTGAGCAGAAATGAAAGGTGTCATTTCCACCCTAGAGCATCAAATTGCCTGCCCTAGTCCTGTGAGTCTTTTCACTCTCCTGAATCTACAACTGAAAATGTTTGAGATGGTTGTTGGTTGGCAACTGATTCTCCATGAGACTGTCATAAGCAGAGTTCCTTGTGGACTTTGTTTTTTTGAGCTACTGAGACCTTGGGTTGCTACTACAGCATGACCAATCCTCTCTGGACCAATCTAATTGATCGGGAGCCTATACCTCCTGACTACAGCCACACAATCCTGATTTTTGCTGGGCACGTGACCAGTCAGTGTAAAGACTAATTTTCCTGGTACCTCTTGTGGATAAGTATGGCACCGCAAAGGTTTGTTCAGTGGAATCACTAGTGGCAGTGAAGTATGTGACTCCCACTCTTTCTCCTTGTAGTTGTCTAGAGAACAATGCCATGATAAGCCCCTGGGCCGATGTGGACCAAAGAAACTCTCTGAAGAGCACAGAGGTCCAGGACAGAAGGGAGTCATGGAGCGGCCATTCTGACTCATACTGGGACTGCCTAGAGGCTGTTATTTATAAGAGGAACAAGCTTCTACTTTTTTGATACTTTGGCTTCCTGTTTTAGTAGTTAAACCTATGTTCCAACTGACATAATAGCTAATAGATACCTGCTCTGGGAGAAGTGATAAAAAAATGGCTTTATCAATAATATCTGCAAGTGCTTCCAGAGCATGGTGAGGCTGGGGTTAGCTGCTCTGGTTTGAGTGTCCCCACCAAAACTCCTGTTTAAGTAAATCTCACTGTGAGACCAGGTGGGATCTAACTGAAGTGGTGTGGGGAAGGCAGCCCTCAGAAACAAATCACCTATCAGTGAATCTAATGGATTCGTGGATAAATGCGTTATCATGAAAGTGTGTCTGTTGGGGGCTGGGGATTTAGCTCAGCGGCATACGTGCCTGCCTTGCAAGCAGGCAGTTGTGAGTTCGATCTCTGGTACCGATAAAAATGAAAAAGACCAAAAAAAAAAAAAAAAAAAAAAAAAAAAAAAGAAAAAAGAAAAAAAAAAAGAAAAAAAAAAGAAAGTGTGTCTGTTACAAAAGGCAGTTTGGTTTTCTTCTGGATGCACCTCCTCACCCTGTGCCATTTGCTGGTCAGAAAGGGGATTCACCCCATGCAGTGCTTCCACGTGGGACTGCTCAGCCTCTAGGATCGAGTGGAATAAACCTTTACTCATTATAAGTTACCCAGTCTTTGGTACTCATTTATGACAATGGAAAATGGACTAAGGCAGAGGTATCTTTACTATAGCTCAGGGAGCTTAAGTAAATTATTTATACAAAAAGTCGGTGATGGAGCCAGAATTCAAATCTGTGTACGTGTGATGCCACATCCCATGCTCAAGGCCACCAGTTGACACTGTCTCGCTTTATGGACCTCTGTGTATGGTGCGGGAAGCAACACCCATGCCCATCCCAGCTTGAGAAGATAAAGTCTATAGAGGAAGAACCCAGGTCTAGTACTATTTGTGTCTAGCTGAAGGTTTCCAGGTTCGAATCAGGCCTCAGAGGCTGGGATCACTATGATAACAAGGTACCTGGTTTCCTCTGTGTTCCAGTACTTTCCTCCCATTATTTCTGAACCCAGATTTTGGCAAAAGAATGACCTGCTCACCTTGGAGAAGTACTCTGTCTTCTGCCGCGTGTAATTGGTGAACTTTGCAACGATACTTTGGCTGCTGCCAAGAACAGTCTGGAAGCGGATGGGCTTTTCAGGAGGCGCCGGCACAGCCTTCAAATTGAGCTCATACTGGTAGTAACCTAAATCACTGTTGTACAAAGTTAGTTTCCCTAAGGTTTCACCAGCTTTCAGGGGCTGGAATTCAAATGAGAATGTACCCTGGAAGAGAAGAGAGAGGTGGTTATATGTGGGAAATCAGACTCATCCTCTGTCACCTGGGAACCTGCCTGGTTGACGGTAGAAATGGTGCTTTACATCCAGGCGTGCTGGTGCACACCTGTAATCCAAGCACTCTAGGAGGCTGAGGCAGGAGGATCACAAGTTCACACCTAGCCTGGGCAATGTAGCGAGACCTTGTCTCATAATAAAAAATAAAAAAGGCTGGGGATACAGCTCAGTGCAAAGCTCTGCCTGGTTCACTTCCTGGCACTGCAACAAAACAAAACAAAACAACCAAACAAACAAAACCAAGGACTACTTCTACAAATTTTGTCCTATGCACTCTTTTATCCTTGCAGTCTCTCTGTCTCTTACAGCATTTGTGGGAGGGGAAGCAAGCTACCATGCTTAAAGGAGCTCTAGGGAAGGATCCACTTGGATCTGAGGCCTCCAGCCAATAGCTAGCAAGGAGCCAGGCCTTTCCAGTAACCATTTGCTTGGGTCCAGCAGATTAGGTATCCCTAGTCACCTGGGGATGATGAGAGTCCTGGCTGAGTGCCTGATTCTAGTCTTTTGAGAGACCTAGGGCCAGAACCACCCAGCCACAAGTCTGCTCTTGCATTCCTGATCCTCAGAATTGTGAAGATAGCACATGTTTGCAGTTAATGTGTTAAATTTTGGGGTAATTTGTTATGGGCTGTGAGATTACAAATATAACTAAAACATTCTTTCTTGAGACAATCTTGTTTTCTAGTGCAGACTGGCCTCAAACTCATTATGTAGCCCAGGCTGGCTTTTAACTTTTGAACTTGAAATGATTCTCCTGCCTCAGCCTCCAAGTGCTAGGATTATAGGGATCCGCCACCATGCCTGGGACTAATAAATTTTTAAAATAATCTGTTGGTTCAATGTAATTCAATTCAAAATTCCAACTTTTACACTTTTGTTTTTTTAGGAACTTGACAAGCTGATATCAAAATTTATATAGAGAATGCCAACTGCCAAGAATATCCAGGGTATTTTTGAAGTATGAGAAGTGTACAAGGTCATTAAGTTTTAACATAAAGCTACAATGATTGTTTCCTTTCCCAGATATAAAACCTTTCCAAGCATATACTAATTAGAATACTGCAGAGCAATGAAGAAAAGATATAAGGTAAATCAGCTTGGTACAATTTACACTGACTTGTAAGAAAAAAGAAACTGGATTTCTCACAGTATACCTTAAAAACCAGTTTCAGGTTTTGGGCAGGATCATAGAAACAGCTGAAGTATGGTTTGGAAACTCCTTACATCTCCCCATAAAACACACAGATCAACTAGCTCAATAACAAGAACTCACCACTGACATCTAGACAAAACTAAGCAAACAGCTAATGAATACCTAACCCCCTAAATATGAGTGGGCAGGGCCATACTACTGATAGCCACGAGACAGGTGTGGTGTTAGTCCCTACGTGGAAGAATTGTAAAGAAGACAAAGAGACAGTAGCCCGGAGAACCAGAAAGCCCCGAAGTCAGCCCTGAATTGAAGATTCCCTCTCAACTCAGAAAATGTGCTAGGACAGCCGACATGGCAGCCAGCGCTGGAGGGGTGCTGTCAGGCTCCTGCTGACCGTGAAACTTCAGTGGAGGCCATCTGGATGCTTAAAGCCAAGTGACTGAAGCTCCTGACACCAAGACAAAACTATAAGAATAAATCTATTTGCGTGTAACAGACATCACAAGGGCAAAGGAAAGATAAAACCCAGATGAAATCAAAAAAGTGGGCGGGAGAAGAAAGAAAACAAATCTAGACCCTCGGTTCTGAAGGAGAAGGAAGAGCTGGAGCTTGGTATAGGGAACAAACCAGGGATGGCAACTGGAGAGGCACAAGGGATTTTGCTGAAATATGGACCGTGAGAGTTTGGAATGATAAACTGAAAACAAGAATCAAAGAAAGTTCATCTTCCTACTGGTTCACAATTCAAGGCCACGTCTTCCTGAGAACCATTAAAGCTTTCTTGTACATCCATCTGGAAGTTGTCTGTGAATAAGCAAGGCATATATCAGCATGTCTGCCTCGTACCCTTGATATATTATTTTTGTATGTCGCTTTTCTTCTCTTTTTAATTTGGTACTGGGGATGGAACCTAGGACACTGCAAATGCTCTACCACTGAACTATTTCCTAGCTTGTTTCTCTTTTCCATTCTGAGATACCATCTTGCTAGGTTTCCCAGGCTGGTCTGTAACTTGTGATCCTCTTGCCTCAGCTTTCTGAGTAGCTGCGATTCACACCATTCTTAGCTTCTTAATTCCTTTTAATTACTATATTGTATAAAAACATGTTTGTATTTATAAATACATATTTATATTCTATTAAAGATTCTACTTTTTTCCCTTGAGGTTCTGGGGAACAAACCCAGGGCCTCATGCATGCCACGGAAGTGCTCTGCCACTGAGCCACACGCCCAGCCCTATCGCTACTTTTAGAATCAACAACTATCCTCCCAAATATATTTCTCTGGATCAAGGCAAACAAAGAAATAATGGAAATAATGATCACAATAAAGAAGTCCATTTTACCCCTCTAAATCAAAGATCAGTGCTCCTGGTTCACAGGAGGACCTTGGCAGTAGAGGAAAGGAACATGAAGTGATCTCCCCCCACCTTCCTGATCACGGTTAGGTCTAACCCATCCCCAGATGATGCAGAACCCAAACCCTGGAGCCCCCCATGGGCAGATCCGTCTGTGACAGCCCTCAAGCAGCCACAGCCATACCTCGGAGTTGGCAGGCACAGCAAACTGGGAGGGCAGGCTGATGTCAGACAACTTGCATTCCGTGGAGAAGGTCACCGAGTAGGGTAGGGGGTTCTCCAGCTTAATGGAGGCTGACGTACTCTGCCGGACAGGGGTTGTCATCTTGATGGTTTTGATGGTGCCTGAAGGGGTGACCTTGAAACTCACCGTGTAGAACAGGAACTCACCGGTCGCCTCGTTTCGGAAGGTCACCTGTATGTACAGGGAAGAGCAGGGCAGAGGAGGGGTTATCCCAGAGTCCTCTACACACACGAAGAGCCCTGCTCTCTCTTAGGCATGCCGGGGCACAGGAAGTGCCAGTACCAGGCTGATACACTCCTGCCAGTCTGCCTTTCTCTGGAGGCATTCTGATCTGGCTTGTCCCAGGTAAGAGACGGTTAAGTAGACTACCTTTGCTTTAGAAGTGGCTGGAGCAGCTCGGTCTAGTGCCAGCACCTCCCCAGTGGATACAGCTGGCAGGCCCTGGAGAACAAGTGAGACCTTGAGAGGTTCAAGCTGTATTGGGCTTTGCTCTCACTCCTGTTACAGCTGGAAATGTTGACAAAAGTGACAATGCCAGCGTCTAAATGTTTACTGTGTGGCAGACACTGAAAGTATGAATCTATTTCATTCATGCAATTTGCAGGCACTGCTATTGTTCCCTTTCACCCTTCTTTACAGATGGAAAAACTAAAGCTTAGCGGAGTTAAGTATCTGGTGCAAGTTCAAATACAGAGAAGTGTCACCAGGACTCGAGTCCAGGTTAGTATACTGCTCACCTTTTAAAGTTCTTTCCCCTGCTGAATAAACATGGTGACCTGTGCACTGTGGGTCATTCACATAGTTATTTTTATGAAGTAGAGTTTGTTCAAGTCTTTTGTCCTATTAAATATATTGTGTTGTTTATCTTGTTAGGCAGTAATAGCTATTTATACAGTTGTTGGAGACCACTATGAAGTGGCTCTGAGCAGGATTTAAATTTTACTAATTGGCTTTCTATGTTTATCAGTGAGTCTGTCCTAGGCTTCGGCCCCTTGCCTGGTGACGGGAGCTGATTCATAGTAAGTGAACCTCTATGAATCACTGATCCTGGTTGAGGCCTATAGTGCCTGTGAGGCCAGAGATATCTCAAAGGGTACGATAAGGCCACAGCTGTGGACACTTGGCTCAAACAACAATTAAGTAGATAGAGACTGCAGCTGCAGAAATTATTCCTACAGTCTCATTTCTACCATGTCTTCATGATAAGACAGGACCTCTAAATTGACTTGATTCATTAATTGGGGACATCCTTGAAGTGACTCCCAAGGTACTGCTGATTGCCTGCACTTTCCTCAGTTTCCCTGCCCCTTGTTGGACCTAATAAATAAAGTGGGCGGTCCAGAGAAGTCTTTGTCTTAGCCCTTGGAGTCTCCAGCTCAACTAAAGGGTTTTGACCCTTCTGAAGCCCTAAAATCATATCACTTGTTGCATTTTATTTAAACCTCTGCTGTATACTCATTTGGGAGATCAGGGATCTAGGTCAGGACCTGATATACAGTAAGGCTTTTATATATATATTCTCTTAAAAGTCTGTCTGCTTTTTTACTTTTAAAATCCTTCCCTGGGTAATCCTATCACCCATGGCAGTTTTAAAATCCCATCTATAAGAGGATAACCTCCAAATATCATCTTTAACCCTGACCTCTCCCATGAGTTATGGATCCATAGCTCTCGATCCAGCAGACTAGTTGTTCTAGGAGAACAGAGGTGCCTATTTTGTCCATCGCTTTATTACCAGCCAATAGCACAGCATACAGCATACAGCATACAGCATACAGCATACAGCATACAGTATATATTCTCGATAGACATTTGCTGAACAAAGGAATAAATTAGGCAGAATAGCTCATGTGTGAAAGTGCACTGGTGGCTTTGAAGAGTGACTGGGGAGGATACCTGTTTTTCCCTAACACAGGGATTGTCAACCTCAGGGTCAAACCTCCGGGGTTCCAAGGTGATGCCTTTGAGGTGTAGATACCTTTGCAGTATAGATTCCCTCCTTATGGGAAAAGAAGTTCAGTTTATAATCTTTCTTGGAGCCAGAAAGCACATCAATGTAATCAAGGCCCTTCATAGTGATGCTTAGATCTTGCCTCTCTGGTTTCAACATTTCCACAGTGACACGGAATCTGGGGCAGTGCCAGAACACAGGAAGAAAGGAGAGAGAAAATGAGACTTTGTCCAAAGGAGGGGAGGATAGGTGCTATATCATAATAACTCCAACTGCCATTTATTGATCCCTATTACATGCTGGGGCCTGAGTGCTGTCTAGGTACTACAGGCATTGTACCTTCATAATGTCTGCAAGAGGCACGTGTCACTAACATCTCCACTTCAGTAATGAGGAAACAGCCAGCAAAGGATGAAGATAACATGCTTGGGTAACACTATTAGTTAATGGCAAAAGGGGCACGCAGTCTTCTGTCTATGCCTCTATCCACCATGCTGAGCAGGAGATCCTCAGTAAGTTACGGCTCTTATCTGGATCTTTGGTTCTTCCTTGTAAAAGCTGGTTGGTTTTGAGCTCCTCTTGTTCTCATACTCCATTCTACTCCTATTACAAGGAGTAAATCCAAGGGGCTTCCTTCTCTGGCTGGTGGCTTAATAAGACAGACCACTCAATAATAATAAAGATGATTATCATTATTTTACTAATAGCTAATGTTTATTGAGCATTTATTTTGCACCAAGTATTGTTCTGGGAGATGAGTGACAAATGGCACAGAGCAGGAGACACTCTCTACATGCTTAACCTCAGGAAATATCTGGCTACATCAGCGAATCACTGTCTCTGACTCTGTGAGCACCTCAATATTCTCTGTAGGTGCCAAGGAGGGGCGGGACTAAGTTTGGTGGTGGAAATGATCCCTTTGTCTCTCTAGCCCCACCCCTCGCTCCACCGTCTCACCTCTGGGGCTTATTCAGCCAGTTGGTGATTGGCAGAAGCTCCGTGTAGGGTGTCTTACATGGCACCTCATGGTAGATATTGGCTACAGCTTTGGGGAGTTCAGCCATCCCATGCAAAGCATAAAGCCAGCCAGTCCCATCTGGGAGCGGGAAGAAGAGGGTGCCCTAAGGAAAAGAAGACCTGTGATCAGAATGGCACAGAGGTCATTTATTGAATACCCATCAGGCATGGTAGGGATATAGGATTAGTGGAGGCTTTGCAAACAAACATAACATTTGTGGAAACCAACTTGGTAATAGATTTCAAGAGTCATAAAAATAGGGCTGGGATTTAGCTCAGTGGCACAACTCTTGCCTGGCAAATGCGAGGTCATGAGTTTGATCCCTGGTATCAAAAACAAACAAACAAAAAATAAAGACTCATAAAAATATCCTTATGTATTTAAACTAGGAATCCAACCTGAGGAAAATTACTGGAGAAAAATCCCTATAAATAGTACACACATACATACACACATGAACCACTTATAATGTTGATGAAACTTATAGGTAAACATTCAACACCAGGGGAATATTATATTATGAGACTCTTATTCAAAGAAATATTAGGCAGCATTAAAATGTTTATCTCAAACTATATAGTTAAATAGAAAAATATTAATGATGTAATGTAAATAATAAACCAAATGTAAGCCTGAGCATTTTATAATGACAGTTTTGGTTGTATCTGAATAAGGCTTGCTAGAGAAGATAGAAAAAATTCACTTTTTGTATGGTGGCTATTTGTGTTTGCATTTTTTATTACAGTCATCATGATGGTATTTATACTATTAAGTATTAATTGCTTGGTGCTTTGTCTAGAACTTCATTTCAGCAAGAGAATTCCTACATAGGAAAACGAGGATAAAAAGGGAAGCCAAAGTTTGACAGCCTACATGACTCCCCCACCATTCACGGGGTACTCCGCTCCTTGTTATGATATTGTCCGAGCTCCAAATTATCTTCTAAACTCTCCCTCCTTTCACTATTCCAGGAATCCCATGGAGAGGCCTCAGCCTACCTGGTGCTTGCGGTTCTCCAAGTTCATGGTGCGGGGTCTGTAGGTGATCTCATAAGGCTTATTTTGCTGATGGGCCTCCAGCGTGACAAACTCAGGCCCTTCCCAGTGCTCGCCCTCAAAGATGGGGTGCAGATTCCAGGTCTGGTTGGTGCGGTTTGAGAGCAGGATGGTCTGCGTGTGCTTGGAGCGCACCTGGCAGGTGAAATTCACCACCTGGAAGACAGCAGTCACCTGAGCTCCGTGGCTTCTGCCCTGGGGCTGTCTTTAGAGGCCCAAGGGAGAGAATGTGCCCAGGGGAAGTCTGATTTTAATAGTACTCAGAATCCTGAGTTTCAGTTGATTCTGTTTTTTTTTTCATTCTTTCCACAAATATTGATTATTTTCCATGCAACTGGCACTGTTCTTGGTGGGGGAGTTGGAGCAGTGAACAAAATAACAAAAATCTCTACCTTGCAAGAGATTATGTTCCAGAGGCAAGAGACAGACAGGAAATAAACAAGGAAGAATAATGCAGAATATGTAGAAATAAATGCTATGGAGCAAAATAAAGCCAGATTAGGGGTGGGTGCAAAATTTTAGCTGCAGTTTATCAGGGAAGGTTTCATACATACTGAAAATAGATATTTTATTAAAGGCCAAGAAGGAAAAATCAGGGGAGATTCAAGGGAAAAGAGCTTCCTCCTAACCACAGGAAACATCCACTGCAAAGATCTTGAATTTTGATCAGTGACCAGGAGGTATCAGCAGACATGGAGCAGTAAGATAAATTAACAGGGAAGAACAGCATTAGGACCTTAGGAGTCATGGTAGAGACTTGCATTTTCCTTCTATTGACACAGGAGGACTTTGGGGAGCTGTGCATAGAGAGGGTTTTAACAGAATCACAGTGAATGCTGACAGGTGACAGAGGAAGAGACCAATTAGAAGAAACTTTCAGTAGACCAGGCAGGAAACTTTCAGTAGATGGCGGCTTAGGTGACATCAGGGATGGTGGGAAGTGGGTATATTCCAGTTATACTTTGAAAAGCCAATAGGATTTTATAACGTAAGGAAGACTGAGTGTAAGTGGCCCAAGACTGAAGAATGATACCTGAGCAGCCAGAAAGGTGGGGATGCCACTTTATGGGGGTGACCGTGAGATGAGCAGGAACCTTTGAGGAGCTTATTGTTGAACAGGAAGTGGAACTTACAGAGATGAATTTGAGGGCAAAAGGCCCAAACAGGGAATAAACATCTGGGAGTTGTCAGTGCAGCAGTGCTTTTTTGTTTGTTTGGTTTGAGGCCGAGACTGGATGCGATCAACAAGGAGGGAGTGTCTTTAGAAAAAGAGAAAAACTCTAAGGACTGATTCCTGACAGGTGGTTGCAGTGTGAAGAAGGATCAGAGTTGGAGCAGCCAGCTAAGCCAGGAGGAAGCCAGGACAGAGTGATGGTCTGGTGCTAATGAAGGAATGTTTCGAGAAGAGGGGACCAGTTTACAGTACTGTGCTCTTATCCGCTGCTCGAGTAGGATGAAGGGTGAGAACCAGCCACTGGATTTATCAACACGTTCATTGTGGTATTAGTGTAAAGTTAGATCAGCCGACAAGAACAGTCTAGCAACAGACCTGCACTTATGTGATCAACTGATTTTGTCAAAGGTGCAAAAGGCAATTCAATGGACAGAGGGCAGTCTTGTCAATAAATGGTACTGGGGTTACTGGATATTCATATACAACAAGTTTTGAGGCTTGTATGACTTGCACTATATACAAAAATTAAATTCAAGCACATTAGAGACAAAAAGTGTAAAACTTTAAGAAGAGAATCAATGACTGAATTCAAAACAGAAGACTGGAACAGACACTACAATGAAGAAGACATATGATGGAACATGAATACCTGAAAGATGTTCCCTGTCATTGGTTATTAGGGAAATGCAAGTGAAAAACCTCACTAAGACACTGCTATGCACCTAGTAGAATGGCCTACATTTTAAAAATTGATCACGTCAAGTATCGATAAGGATGTGGAGCAAGTGGGAATCATCGCTGGGGAGGACGTAAGAGCCACTTTGGAAAAACAGTTTGTCAGCTTCTGCAGGAGGTAGACAGAGATGTACCTCACAAACTACAACTATGTATTTGCCCAAGAGAAATAAGAGCCTGAGTACTTATTGAGTCTTGTTCATATCTGGGTACCTGTTCATAATGTGCTGTCTGATTCTGTCCATTTAATAGTCTTGAAAAACTAAAGGACAGGGAGGGAGCCATGTTTTCCAGTGGTAACACTATTATGGTTGATACATTGTGTCAATCTGAGAAGTTTAGAAGTTTAACTAAGTGACTCAGCATGTACCTAGGGTCATCTCTTAGTAAACATCCTCATCCTGTGCAAGAGGAGGGCAGGGATACGGGGATACGGTGTGAGTGTTACACCCCTCTGGGTGAGGGTATCCTGCTTACAATATAAGGGAGGAAAAGAGGCTTGCCCACCCTTTTGCTCTTGATTTTGCTGTCTTGAAGTGTTGGCCCTGTGCCACACCATCCTGCCTGATGACGGACTGAAACCTCCACAAACTGTGAGCTAAATAAACCTTTCCTTCCTTTATTTTGGGTGTTGGGTAATTTTTCTCAGCAATGAGAGAAAAAGTAACCAAGAACTAACAAGAGGACAGGAGGGAGATTGGGTGTCATTTTTACTATCAGCAACACTGTCAAGGAAACAGGTAGGTTGGCAGGTTTCCTGGAACATAGCCCAGAAGGGGTTCACTGAACCCCAGTGGTTCACTGAACCACAGAGAAGGAGAAAGGTGCTAATCCTTTACTCAGAGGTCTTATAACAGGATTTGATCTAGAAGGACATCAGTGAAGCTTCCTTGAGAATGTAAAGCCAGAGCTGAGGGCCAAGGCATGAATAGGAATGAACTAAATGGAGAGAGGAAAATAACACCCTCCCCACCCAGACTATGGATCCAGCAGCGGGGATGGCTTGCTCAGCGACTCTGGCTGGAGGGAGCAGGTCTCAATGATCAATGCGGACACTGAGGACTAGCTCCCTGGCTGACCCTCCCTGCCTCTGGTCCATCCCTGGGCAGCGCCAACTCACCTCTTTAGCGGCAGGTGGTCCTACGCAGACACCGGACAGGGTGAGGCTCAGAGGACTGCCCCCCTGGATGAAGCAGGGGATGTTTTTACACAAAGTCTCCTTTCCCACCTCTGTGGGATGGTAGGTCACTTCGAGAGGAACCTCCATGCCAGCGGTGATGTAGCCTTCATCCGGGCTGATCGAGAAATGAGGTTCGAATTTTTTGATATCCCATTTGAAACTTTTCAGACAAAAGAAGACAAAGAAGACAGTTTACTCAGAGGGTTTTCTCAGGGCTACTGAGAACAGACCTTCCCTGGGCTTTTAGCTGCTGGATTCCCCTCCCTAGCCTGCTCTGTAGGACTCAGGAGAAGAAAGAGCTGCCAGGCAAAGCAGAGGCAGAGGAAGCAGGACCAAGGTTGCTCCTGGATTAGCTGGGCCAATGCGGGAAAGTGACTGCATCTTATCTTTGTACCCACAGGGCACACCGGGGACCATTTATGCATGAACACGTATATATGTATCTTCAAGGTCACACAGCTAGCACGTGGCTGGGCTAGGATTGGAGCCTGCCTGAGTCTGTGACCTTAATCATTTCCTGCACTGTTTTCCAGTTTGGATTCAGGATGGTGTGACTCATGTGAGAGCTGCACCTGTTCTTGGAGGTTCTTGGGTTTGTCAGCCCTGTGTGGTCACTTCTCTGGTGCTGGGCATCTGGTCTGGGCAGGAGACAGGAGGGATGGTATAGGGCATTGCCTCCAGGATCAGGGCTGCCACACCACACTTCACTGGGAGCCATTCATACCAAGTCTGTGTGACAAGTGTCCCCTGGGGTGAGCAGTGCACAGCCTGCACTGATGTGTCAAGGTCTGTAAGAAGTAAGAGGGAAGAAGAGTCTAGAAAGAAGAGCTGCTGAAGATGTACTGTACCAGGCTTCTGCTCCTGGCTGTGTCGTCCTGGGCAAGTCACCTCACCTCCTTGGACCTTACCTCATCTGTGAAATGGTCCATATTGAACCCACCTTACAGGGGCCTGAGATAATTTAGAATGTAAGCTTTTTTTTTGTTTGTTTGTTTCTGGTACCAGGGATTGAAATCAGGACCTCATGGTTGGTAGTTAGACTCTTATGCCACTGAGCTAAATCCCCAGCCTGGGCCTGAGATAATTAAGGGGAGATTATATGCAAGGATCCTCAGCACTGGCTCCGTACATGGTAAGTTTTTTGCTACATGCTTGATTTTGGAAAAGTAAATCTCTTTGTGCCTCAGTTTTCTCATCTGTAACATAGATCTGTAGAATATTGGTCTCCTAAGGTTATTGGGATGGAATGGGACGAGCCGTGTAAAGGGCATGTAACAGGACTGAGCAAACATCCTCCATCATATTAATTTTAGTAACCATGGCAGCAGTGGTCACTCTGGTGAAGTCACTGCTATCACATCTCGAGGCAAGGTTGTGTGTGTAGAAGGGAAAAGACAGAAACAGAAAGTGGCTGTGCTTGCCAAATGAAGGCTGGCAGTCCAAGAACAGAGATCTCTGGCAGCCTGGGGCAGGGTATGGCTTCCTACCTTGCACCCATGTCGCCTGTGTTCAACATGAGGATGCGGCGCGTGGCTTGTGCCTGATACACGACTGGTCCAAAGGGAAGGTTATCCTGGTCCAGGGAGATCTCCAGGGCCTGGCAGCAGCCACTAAGGAGGAAGAGGGGGCGCAGGAGGCCCATGCATTCCATGAACACTTCCTCGGAGAAGGGAGGGATGCGCTTCTTTGGGGCGAAGGTGACTTCCACTTTACAGACCTCTTTGGGCTTCAGGGTGATGTTTTGGAAGGGCTCAAAGGTGATGACCTGGGTGAAGAACAACTAGACTCAGCAGCTGAAGGTGGGAGCAGGGTGCTGATTTGAGGGTCGCCTGCGTTCCCTGAGGTATTTCTGCTGGTGCTGCTAGCCCAGGGGACAAATCACACATCTGCTCCTACCAGCTGTGTGATCTCTTGTAAGTTCCTTAAAACTACCAAGACTGGCTCCATGGAAAAGGTAAAGATCCTGTATATTAAGAGTGTGGCACCTAGCAGGCATCCAATAAATGTCAGTTCCTTTTCCTCCCCTTCCCAGTGCACTTTGGACACTTTCTTCTTTCTCCTCTTCCTTTGAGGAAGGAATAGGAAACATGTAGGGCTCTGTTGTTTCCCAAGGGCGCTCCCTGGGGTTGTTAAGATGCAGACTCCACCGTCTTGTCCCAGGCTCAGCGACTAATGCTGCTGCGAGGGGGTGGAACCCTCATTATCAAAAATTCTCCAAGTGACTCACGAGTCTAAAATTTGAGTCATTGCACACATGAGGATGCTTTTCTCTTTGCCTTTAGTCCTGGTAAAAAGCAAATCCCAAGAAAGCCAACTCCTTTTTGACCCTTAAACTCTCTTTGGTACAGAGCATTGAGCAATTGCCCATGAGTGGACTGTGGTCCAGGGAGTGAGGTGAGGGATAGAGGAGCTGGGACTGCAAAGTTGTGCCAGAGATTTCTCAAATGTGAGGATGTTGGAGTCAGCCTCAGGGCGATGAGAACGCACAGGACACTCTGCTGGCTTTGGCCTGGCCACCTACACAGCAGAACTGGTATGGCCAAACTGTTAGGGGTCCTGACCCACTGAGACCAAGGATTGTAATTTGGGTTAATGAGATAGTGTAAAGGGCAAGTTAGGGTCCTGGGATGAGATGACCATTACATCTCTTGCTCTAGCTGTGTTGCTTTTTTCCCCCTCTAAATTATTTTAAAGAAAAAGAAATAAAAACAATGGTACAAAATTTCACAATAAAATTGTAGGAGAGTTACAGTGGTTAGTACATTGTGTTTTGTTATTCTCAAAGTAGTTGCTTATATTACAAGATCTAGGCATGAAAAATTGATCAAACAATACAGGCACACACCTTTCTTTTCAGTGAACTAATAACAATTAGTAGTATAATTATCTTCACTATTTTGTGTGTACATATATATGTGTACATGTATGTACATATGTATGTATATATATATTTTTCCTTTTCCCTTCCTCCTTGTCTCTTTTTCCCCATCCCAGTTTTTCTTCTCTTTTGAACAGTTTCTTCCCATTTCACAATATTTATTATACATTTTGAATTTTATTTACTTTTTCAGCTTCTTATACTAGAGAGACAACACAATGTTTACATATGTGAGACTGATTTATTTCACTTATGAGTATGGTCTCAAGTGGCATCCGATTCCTTATGTCTCAAATTTATACTTCTTTATAGCTGAGTAGTATTCCATTGTCTTAAAATACCACAACTTTTTTTATCCATTCCTCAGTTGATGGGCATTTGGATTGTTTCTAAGATCTGGCTATTATAAATTGTGCTGCTATAAACATGGGTACACATATATTACTGTGGTATAGTGTTTTTAACTCTTTGGGGACAATATGCAGAAGGGGAATAGTTGGGTCAAAAGGGACCTGTAATCATAGTTTTTTTTTTAGAAATCTCTAGACTGATTTCCATAGTGGTTGCACCAGTCTATACTCCTACCAAAGCGGAGAAGGGCTCCTTTACCCCACATCTCTCCAGCATGTGTTACTGGCTGACTTCTAAATGATAGTCATTTTTACTGGGGTGAGATGGAATCTCTGTTTTTTTTAAATTTGCATCTTCAAATGACCAATGGTGTTGAACATTTTTTCACAAATTTATTTTCAATTTGTATTTTTTTAATCTGAGAAGTATGTGTTCATCTCAGCTGCCCATTTTTGGACTGAGTCTTTGAATCGGGGGGGGGGGGAGCTGATTTTTTCCAACTCTTTATATGTTCTAGATAGAAGTCCTTTGTCTGTGGGATATTTGGCTAAAATCTTTTCCCACTCTGTGGGTGTCTTTTCACTCTGATTTCTTTTGATGTGCAAAGGCTTTTTAATAAGATGAGTTCCCACTTGCTGATTCTGTGAGGTGTTTCCTGTGCTGTCTAGGTTTTGCTCATGAAGCCTCTGCCCGCCCCTACATCTTCAAGATTTTTACCTACTTTCTCTTCCAGTAGATTTAGTGTTTCTGTTTAGTATTTAGATTTTTGATCTATTTTGACTTTAGTTTAGTGCATGATTACAGACATGGGTCTAGTTTTAGTTTTTGGTTATAGAGAGCCAGTTTTTCTCGCACTATTTATTAAAGAGGTTATCTTTCTTCCAGTAAACATGGTTGGCCCGTTTGTCAAAGATAAAGTGGCTGAGTGTGTTTGTAGTTCGTCTGAATCTTCTAATCTGTTCCACTGGTCCTCAGGTCTGTTTTTTCTTTTTGACAATACCATACTGATTTCATCACAATAGCTTTGTAATATAATTTCAAGTCAGGGATTGTGATTCCTCCTGCCTTGCCTTTGTTGTAGAGTTGCTTTTGCAATTTGAGGTCTCTTTTGCTTCCAGATGAGTTTTAGGAATGATTTCTCTAGTTCTGTGAGGTATGCTAATGGTATTTTGATCAGGATTGCATTAAATCTGTGTGACAGCTTTGGGAGTATGGCCATTTTCACCATGTTGGTTTTTCTTATCCATGAACAAGGGGTTTCCATTTTCTGATATCCTCTTTGATTTCCTTTTTCAGAGTACTATAATTTTCTATATATAGGTCCTTTACTTTCTTTGTTAGATTGATTCTTAAATATTTTATTTTTTGGATGCTATTGTGAAAGATGTGGTTTCCCTACTTTTTATCTCAGTGAATTTGTATTTTTGTGTACAGGAATGCTATTGATTTTCAAGCATTGGCTCTGTATCCAGCTACACTACAGAATTTGGTTATTAATTCTAGGAGTCTTTTGGTGGAGTTTTGGGGTTTTCTACATAGAGTGTCATGTCATCTGTGAATAATGATAATTTAACTTCTTCCTTTTCTTTCTTTTTTAATTTAAAGATGATAAAACAATAAAACCAATGAAAACAAACCCCTATAAGAGATACAGGACTTCAAACATTATGAAATCAACAATAGTAACTATAATGCCTTTTGATGTCTTCAAAATAGCTGCAGATAACTTCAAACATAGTAAAAACCAAACAGAATAGCATAAAATAGAAACAATAAAAACAAAACAATGAATGCAATAAAGGACTTCAAAACAAGTAGATAGTAAATCTAAAATGGCTACCATAATATATCTTGCCATCTTTAAAATAGCTGCTCCTGCCATCAGATTTGACATGGTCAAACAAAACGAAACAAAACAAAAGAGAATAAAACCCAACCCAACAAAACAATGTAAATGATATAGGACTTCTGAAACAAGACCATAGTGAATCAACAATGGCTGCAACCCTCAGAAGGAGATCCCCCCCTAGATGCCACACTGTGTACCACTGTCCTCTGAACCTGTGATCAGACCACTGGCCCTAGACCAGTGTCAGTACAACAAAGCAGCACATGCATCCAATTGTATTTCACCTCCATAGCTATCATCACAGCCCGTATTTCTCCAGATAAGCTGGTTGCTTATGGTGGGGGTAGGGGGTTGCCAGTGCGCATGTTGGAAGGGGCTGGGGTCTGTGTGTTCCAGTCTGTGGCCATGCAAAGTGGCCCATACAAAGTGCTGGCTCCCTGACTGGGCTTGCTTCTTGGTGTGACCTTCTCTCTAACCCCGGTCCATGAATATTTCTCCCTTCTCTATCCTTATTTCTTTTATTTCTCTCTTTTTTCTAATTTCTCTGGCTAGTATTTCTAGAACTATATTGAATAGGAGTGGGGATAGTGGACATCCTTGTCTTATTCCAGATTTTAGAGTTTTTTTTTCCATTTAGTATAGTGTTGTTTGTTGGTTTGTCACAGATGACTTTTATCAGATTGAGGTAAAGACTATGTATTCTGATTTTCTGTAGGGTTTTTAATCATGAGTGCTGGATTTTATCACAAGCTTTTTCTATATCTATTTAGATGATCATGTGATTTTTGTTTTTGGTTCTGTTGATATGATGTATTACATTTATTGATTTGCATATGCTTAGCCATCCCTGTATTCTCGGAATGAATTTCTCTAGTTAATAGTGCATAATACTGATGATATGATGCATTCTGTTTGCTAGCGTCTTATTGAGGATATTTGCATCTATGTTCATTAGGGAGACTGGCCTGTAGTTCTGTTTTTTGGTTGAGACTTCCTCTGGTTTTGGTAACACAGTAATATTTACCTCTATGAATGAGTTTGGGAGTATTGCTTCTCTTTCAATTTCATTATAGAGTTTGAGAAGTATTTGCTCTAACTCTTTAAATTTCTTGTAGAATTCAGCAGTGAATCCATCAGGCATTGAGGGCTTTTCTTTGTTGGTAAGTTTTTAATTATATTTTCAATCTCATCAACTGATATTGGGTTATTCAGACATTTTTTATCTTTTTGGTTCAGCTTTGGCAATTTATACATACCTAGGAATCTGTCCATTTCTTAGGTGTTTTCCATCCTATGAGAGTAAAGACTTTCGAAGTAGGTATTGATGATCTTTTGAATTTTCACAGGCTCTCTAGTGATTTCACCCTTTCCCCTTCTTTTGCTGAGGTTTTATCAATTTTATTTATTCTTTCAAAGAACCAACTCTTCAATTCATTAATTCTTTGTATTATTTTCTTGGTGTCCATTGCATTAATTTCTGCTGTGATATATAGTTTCCTCCCTTGTATGGCTTTGGGTTTGTCTTGCTCTTCTTCTTCTAGAAGCTTAAGGTGTAACATTAGGTTGTTTACTTGTGTTCATTCCATTTTCTTGATGTGAGAATTTACTGCTATACATGTCCCTCTTTGGAGTCCTTTCATTGCATCCCATAAGTTCTGGTATGTTGTATCTGCATTTTCATTTAGTT